CCACCACCGCCCGGCCATTTCCATGTTATTGAACATAACAATGCAAGTCCTAGTCAGAAGTCATAGAGTTAAAACGTTAGAAAAGGATTACAGTTATCTCCTTTTGAACACCACACAGTTTTATGGGTTTTTTTTGTTTGTTTGTTTGTTTTGGAAACAGGATTTGTCTGTCCTGGAACTCACTCTGTAGACCAGATTGGCCTCAAACTCACAGAGATCTGCCTGTCTCTGTATCCTGAGTGCTGAGATTAAAGGCGTATGCCACTACTGCCCAGTTCACATAATTTTTGGTTTTTTTTTTTTTTGAGACAAGGTCTGTAAAGTAATTACTTAATTTTTTTTTTTTTTTTTGACAGAATTTTCCTGTGTAGCTCTGGCTATCCTGGAACTCGCTCTGTAGACCAGGCTGGCCTCGAACTCAGAGAGATCGGCCTGCCTTCCGAGTGCTGGGATTAAAGGCGTGTGCCACCACCTTCTGGCCATTACTTAGTTCACACAAACCGTCAGTTGGATGTCCAGCACTGCACAAACTGGCAAGGATAGCCCATGTTTGTAGTCTCGGGAGGCAAAGGCAGTCATTATGATCTGAAACTCAGTGTCAGCTATGTAATAAGTTGAAAGCCAAGCCAGAGAACATGACCTGCCTCAAAAACTAACACACACACACACACACACACACACACACACACACACACACACACACACCAAAATCAACTAAACAAAACCAGCGAAGAAACAAATAAATGAAAACAAGGTAAATACATTAAATGTTTTTTTTTTTTTTCTGAGAAAGGAAAACAAATGATCAATAAATACTAAAGATTGCTCTGAAGAGGACTGGAAAGATGGCTCAGAGGTCAAGAGGGCCAGGTTTTCATCCCTAGCACCCAGGCTCACAACCTGGGTAGCTTCACGTCCAGGGGATGTGACACACTTCTTCTGGCCTCCAGAGTCCCAGGGCACATATGTGGCGTACAGACATACAGTGCAGGCAAAACACTCATACACATAAAATAAAGTAAATAAATCAAAACGATAAAAAGACATCTGCATCCTTTAAAAATAAATAAAATTGCTCTTTGCCCCTTATAAGTCCTGGGTGAGGATCGTAACACAGTGTAGTCATTGTGGAATACAGTTTGATAATTCCTCAAAAATTTAAATATAGAACTGACTTATAAACCAGCATTTCTACTCCATGAGATATATACCCAAAGAATTGAAAGGAAAAAAATCATATTTGCCAGGCATGGTGGCACATGCCTGCAATCACAGCACTTGGGAGGTGGAGACAGAACCATCAGGAGTTCAAGGACATCATTAGTTACACAGGAAGTTTGAGGCCAATCTGGGCTTCATGATCTTAGAAATTTGTCCATTTCATGGGACTTACCTAATGTATGTGTGTAGCAATCTTTGTTTAACCAATTTTATTTCCACAAGGATCATGCTGAGTTACCTGTTTTCATTTGTGCATTTTAGAAATCTAAATCTTCTGCCTTTTTTGAGTCACTTTTGCATTTTGTATATGTTTAATTAATTTATTCTTTTTTTTTTTTTTTTTGAAACTGGGTCTCTCTCTCTATCTATCCTTGGCTGTCCTAGAACTCTCTATGTAGATCAGGATGGCCTCAAACTCCAGAGAGCCACCTACCTCTGCCTCCTGAGTGCCGGGATTAATGACATTTGTGTGCAGGTGTCTGCTGGTTGGATCTTAGGTCACTGGGTTTGGTTGCGGGTTTCCTTACTGTGTTACAGCTGGGATGGAAAGGTATCTTGGCAATTGGGATCCAAGGATTACCACAAAGTCATACAGTACAACACACCTCACAGAAGAGATTTATTGGGAGGGAAAACCCCTGGAGGGTGGCTGCCTCTGCTAGGGGGAGAAGCAGCAGAGAACTGAGCAGAAGACAGGATTTATATAGGATCTCCCCCCCCACCCCCGCCCCCAAATGGGGCCTGACCACTCTCCTGAGTGGGTGGAGGAACTGGAACGGCCATTAGCGAATTCTGGGGGGCCTGGCCTAGCCATTCCCCCCCCAGGACAGACGGAAGCCTGCGAGGGGGGGCTTGGCTGGTGGAGCTCCTCAGGGTCAGGGCCTAAAGGGGTCAAAACCTTCAGGCTGGCTGGGGAGGTCTCTAGGGGCGGGGCTTACAAGGAGTCTGAGCTGGGCAGGGAAACATGTCCTGCTGCCCAAGGTGGCCTGAATAGCCAACACTTAATTCATGAAAAAAAAAAAAAAATTCACCAAGTCGTTGAAACTATTCTTCAACTGCTCCTCTGCCTCCACCTCTCAAGTGCCGGGATTATTTATGGGTGTCACGGCTGCTTTTCTGTGGTACTGGGACGCAGTCTAGGACTAGACCAGTACCCTATCGACTCAGCTGCACCTTCAGACTCGCTGTGCTGCCCGTACTGAGGTCGTGATCCTCAGGCCGGAAGATCGTGTTTTGCCTCAGCCTCCTGGGAAGCTGGGACACAACCGCACTTGGCTACGTTTAATTTAAAAGATCTTCTTCGTTACGGGTTCCCTTGCGTCAGAGGCCCGTTTGCTGTCTTCTGAACAGCAAGGTAATGACGGTGAGAACAGCGGGACAAGCAAGCAAAGAATCTTAAAAGTGAGTTACCAAGGAGCTGGAGAGCGGACTCAGTGGTTAAGCGAATTTGCTGTTCTTGCAGAGGACCAAATTCCATTCTCAGTGCCCACACAATGGCTCACAACCATGCCTAGCTCCAGTTCCGGGGGACCCAAAGCCCTCTTCTGACTTCGCCTGGCACCAGGAACGAATATGGTTCATATACGTGTGTATATGTAAAATACTCACACACATAAGAATAATAAGAGTTAAAAAACAAACAACAAAAAATATGAGTTGCCAAATAATACCCTGGGATCAAAAGTTCTCTTACCTCCTGAATAAAAGGTCGATTTAGTGGCCTTGTATGTAAATTAGGCATTGACTTGAGATGAATCTGGTTGGTTAATTTGAATGTATATGGAGAAGTCTGATTGGTTGAAAGTGCCACAGGCCAAGAAATGGTTTGAGTAGAGGTTGGAGGGTAGTTGGGGGCAGGGCAGCAAAATGTTTGGGGGATGGAGGAGGAGGAGAAACAGGAAGCAGAAAGAACAAAGGTTGTGATTTGGGTACATCTTGTGAGTTCCAGGCCAGCCTGGTCTACAGAGCGAGAGCCAGGACAAGCACCAAAACTACACAGAGAGACCCTGTCTCAAACACAAATAAACAAACAAAAAAGTGTCACCTCATTTGAAATTATGTTTGGGAGACCTTCCCCAATCCTCCCTAAGCTCAGAGATGTTCCTAAGGCAAAAATTACCACTACCTCCTCAAGTCCTTACAGACCCTGCAACAGACTTTTCCCTCCCTCCCTCCCTCTCTCTCTCTCTTTCTGTCTCTCTCTCTCCTTCCCTCCCTTCCTCCTTCCTCTCTTTTCCCCTCCCCTCCCTCCCTCCCTCCCTCTCTCTCTCTCTTTCTGTCTCTCTCTCTCCTTCCCTCCCTTCCTCCTTCCTCTCTTTTCCCCTCCCCTCCCTCCCTCCCTCCCTCTCTGTCTGTCTTCCTTCCTTCTTTCTTTTTTAAAGACAGAATTGCACTATGTATCCCTGACTTCCCGGAACTGCATAGACAGGGAGTGCCAGCATTAAAGGCATTGCACTACCACTCCTTATCCGTTATAGTCTTGGCAAGAATTTAACCACTGAATTACATCTGCAACTCTAATTTATACTTTCTTTGTTCAATTTAAAAAAAATATTTCTTTTATCGTGTGTGATCATGTGTTTGTGTTTGTGTGTATGTGTGTGTTTAATGTTATGCCCAGATCACAGGGACACCTCCCCCCCCCCAAAGATCACCACAGACACTGAGTCACGTATATAAAAAAGAGCCTTTATTTCAAGCTTGGAGCTTGGTCTCTTTGTCTGTCAGATACAATGGTGAGAGCAGAGATCCCCTAGCCCAGGCAGGGTGGGTTTTTTTTTTCTTTTTTCATATCAGAGGTTGGGGTGAGGAGATTTCCAGGGTTCACGACCCTGATTGGCTGACATTTGTCTAGGGGTGTGGGGAATGTTTAGAATGTCAGGTACTTCCCCTTAGGTACAGGCCCTCTCTGGGTTGGGTCAACTTATGGCTTTTACAGGTATTGCCTGCCAGAAAGCCTGTCACAGAAACTGTGTCTGGGCCTCTAAGCCTGTCATGGCATCTGTGTGGTCAAGCTGTTTTGGGCCCTCCCCCAAACACATTGGAGTGTCCAAGGAAGACACAAGAAGGCATCCAATCCTCTGGAGCTAGATAACAGGTATTTGTGAGCAACCTGACATGAGGATGGGATCTGAACTTCAGTTCTCATGATTAAGCAGAAAGTGCTCTTAACTGTGGAGCTATCTAACCAGCCCCCAGTTTTTCTTCTGAGACAGTCTCATTTAGGGCAGGCTGACCTTGAACATACTGTGTGGTTGAGGATGAACTTGAACTTCTGATCTTCCTTACTTTAAGACTTTCCAATCTCTGGGTTTAAAAAAATTTTTTTTCAAATTAATGTACAATGTTTTAGGTTTTATTATGACATTTCCATACATTAGTATCATTAGCCTTCTTTCCTATTCATTCCCCTCCTCATACTGCCCTCCTCTTCATCCCTGTCCACTCTTATGTGGTCCTTTTCCTCCTCTGAAATCATCCTCTCTTCTAACTTCATGTCATGTGAATAATTTCTCCCTTTATCCCTTCCATGTTAGGGCATCTTTCTCCTCTTTCATGGTCTCCTTTCTACTTTCATCATACACATACACACACACACACACACACACACACACACACACACACATACACACACACATCAAGATATATATGAGAAAAAATATGGTATCTGTTGTTGAGAGTCTGGCTTATGTCACTTTGACATGATTATTTCCAGTCCCATCCGTTTTCCTGAAAACCCATGACTTCATTTTCCTTTATGGCTGAAAAACATTCCCCTTTGTAAACCATATTTTCTTCATCCACTCATCTGTTTGCAGACATCTGGGCTGGTCCAGCTTCCTAACTAGTGAAACTAGTACAGCAGCTAACTTGGATGTTCATGTGGTCTGTAGATCTGGAATCTTCAGGCATGTACCAGGGGGTCTATAACTGTGTCCTATGGTATTACTACTTTTAGGTTTTTGTTTTGTATTTGTGATACAGGGTGTTGTGTAACACAGGCTGGACTCAAACTTACTATGTAGCCAAGCTTGAGCTTGAATTATTGATTGCTCTGTCTTCAGCTTCCTAGTGCTAGGACTACAGATACATGTCACCATGCCTGGTTTAGTTTTAGTTTTTGAGAAACCTCCAACTAATTTCTATCATAGCTTCAGTGGTTAACATTTTCAAAAGCAGTGTATATAAGCATTCTTCTTTCCCTACATCCCACCCATCTCTGGTCATGTATATTTGCGGTTCTAAATGTCTTTTGTGTTCAGATATCCATTTCTTTCTCTAGATTTGAGAGATTTCCTGCTATAATTTCATTGAATAGATTCTCTAAATCTTAGGTTTTTATTTCAGCTCCCTTTCTATCCTTTGGACCCTTAAGTTTGGTCTCTTGATCATACCCCAGAGTCCTGGAAGCTATGATGATACACAAACATTTTTCTTTTGTTGCTGTTTGAATGTAGTATTTCTTTCTTTTCTTTCTTTCTTTCTTTCTTTCTTTCTTTCTTTCTTTCTTTCTTTCTTTCTTTCCTTCCTTCCTTCCTTCCTTCCTTCCTTCCTTCCTTCTTTCTTTCTTTCTTTCTTTCTTTTTTTTTTTTTGATTTTTTTGAGACAGGGTTTCTCTGAGTAGCTTTGGAGTCTGTCCTGTTACTTGCTTTGTAGACCAGGCTGGCCTCGAACTCACAGAGATCCACCTGTCTCTCAAGAGCTGGGATTAAAGGCACCACCTCCTGGCTGAATGTAGTATTTCTTTGGCTTTACCCTCCATACCTGATATTCTTCTGCTTGGTCAAGACTATTGGTAATTCTTTTTGGTGTATTTTTTTCTTTTGATTCATTGAGTTTTCATTTCCAATATTTTTATTTTTCTTCATAATTCCAGTCTTCTATCAATTCTTTTCTTCCATGTTGCTGACTTTTTGGTCCATATTTCTCATCCATCTTCTGACTTTTTCCCTCTTCCGTTACTACCTTTCCTTCCTGGGTCCGGGATTGAATTCATCTGCCTCTTTGAGGTTATTGGTCATTTTTTTTCTAGTAAATGTTTAATCTCTTCTTGCACTTTATCTATTTTAGTATCTTTCAGTTCAATAGTTGAGAAGTTCTGATCATGTGGAGGAGTCATATTACCTTGCTTTTTCTTACTTCCTGTGCTTCTGTACTGTGACTTACTCCTCTGTGGGTTTGGCTGTTGCTTCAGTTTTATGAAGAGCTCTTGTCATTGAGGAGCCTACTTGTGAAATCTCAATTCTCAGTGCCACCGAAGGAAGAAAAGCAAGTTGCTATAACAGGAACCACGTGAAACCAATCAAAATATTGAAATACGCCGGGCGTTGGTGGCGCACGCCTTTAATCCCAGCACTCGGGAGGCAGAGGCAGGCGGATCTCTGTGAGTTCGAGGCCAGCCTGGTCTACCAAGTGAGTTCCAGGAAAGGCGCAAAGCTACACAGAGAAACCCTGTCTCGAAAAACCAAAAAAAACAAACAAACAAAAAAATATTGAAATACATTTAAAATCAATAAGAAGCCGGGTGGTGGTGGTACACACCTTTAATCCCAGCACTTGGGATGCAGAGCCAGGCGGATCTCTGTGAGTTTGAGGCCAGCCTGGTCTACAGAGTGAGATCCAGGACAGGCACCAAAGCTACACAGAGAAACTCTGTCTTGAAAAAACTTAAATAAATAAATAAATATAATAAAATAATAATAATAATAATAATAAATAATAATGACTCTGAGATACCATCTTACACCTGTCAGAAGGGCTAAGATCAAAAACACTGAAGACAGCTTACATTGGAGAGGACGTGGAGCAAGGGGAACACTCCTCCACTGTTGGTGGGAATTCAAACTTCTACAGCCACTCTGGAAATCAGTATGGCGGTTTCTCAGAAAATTGGGAATCAATCTTCCTCAAGACCCAGCTATACCACTCTTGGTCATATACCCAAGGAATGCTCAATCTTACCATAAGGACACTTGCTCAACTATGTTTATACCAGCATTATTTGTAACAGCAAGAACCTGGAAACAACCTAGATGTCCCTCAACTGAAGAATGGATAAATAAAATGTGGCACATATACACAATGGAGTACTACTCAGCATTAAATAAAAATGATATCATGCAGGCAAATGGATGGAACTAGAAAATATCATCCTGAGTGAGGTAACCCAGATTCAGAAGGACAAACATGGTATGTACTCACTCATAAGTGGATACTAGATGTAGGGCAAGGGATGGCCAGACTGCAGACCTCTTGATTTGGAGGATGTGGGGTGGCTTGGGAAGGAGGGCTTGGGGGGTGGGTGGGAGGAGGGAGGAGGTGGGATCTGTGGATGGTATGTAGGGTGAGTAGAAAATTTAATTAAAAAAAGAAAGAAGGAAAGAAAGAAAGATCTATGGTGGTATTTTATTTGTACTGAAATGTTATTTTCATTGTACGTTAATAAATAAAGTTGCCCGGGAGTCAGAGCTACTAGAGCCATAGCTCTAGACAGTTTGCCAGGCTT